CTGGAAAGAAACTGTTTGAACCATAACAAAGCTGGGAAAGGATCATGCTCAGGAACCATGTTCGCCGGGCAAGCAAACTCAGTCCTTGTCCATGCCTCCAGAGCTGACCAATTGTTCACGCTGTCTTGCGACCAATATACTCCACATGTGGAGCCCAGGATAAATCATTATCCAGGACTAAATCAAGGTACTGGGCTGTAGGGGTCACACAGAATTTCTCGCCATTGCAGAAGACATCCGGTTGTATTGCAGCCGTGCCTCATGGCCGGATGAAGAGCAACTGTGTCTTGGTGTGTCGAGGAACAGACCAATGTCCTCCAGCCAGGTAGCAAGGTTTGTCATGGCTTGCGTGAGGGTTCTGCACACCATAGCAGGGTCAGAATGGTAGCAGTCGATGACAATGTCATCTGCAAATTCTTGGTGCTGTACAGACGGTGGCAGTATGGTGTGGAGTTCACTAGTGTAGAGCACAAAAAGCAGTGGCCCAAGGGCGCTACCTTGGGGAACAACACGGGAGCAACTGACGGCTTCACTACCAGAGTCCAGAACTTTGACACTCTGGAAACGACCTGAGACGTAGTCAGCGAACCAATCCAGGCAGTTCCAGCTATACAAAGGGAAAACAAAACTGTAACTAGACGTTCATGCTTAACACGGTCGAAGGCTTTCGACATATCAACGAACACTGTCCCAGTGAACTCTCGTTTGCGGCCAGCGGTGGACCATAGATTAACAGCTATCACAAGTGCATCCTCTGTCGAATGTGCCTCCAGATAGGCAGTAAGCTGTCTCTTAACCATTGTGTCCAGAATACGGGAGATAATGGGGTGGAGAGACACTGGACGATAGTTCTGGGGCAGGGTTCGGTTGCCACACAATGGACTGAAATGTGACACTTTGAAGGTTGGTGGAACCTGTCAAGTTCCAAGAGACAAATTGATAATGCTGGTGAGATTCGATGCAAGAACAGAGGCATCTTCATGTGAAATTGGCTGGAAATTGGATAGGGATGTCTCCAATGCTGGCCCTGCGGGTGGCTGAAGGTTCAATGTCCGAGCTGGGTCATGGACAATACTACCAAAGAGTGAAGTTAGTTCTGTGATGGATGCCTGTGGCTCAGACGTCTCTTTCTTCCAACCAGCAACTGCATTCATGATTGACCAAAGTCTTCGCTGGTCATTGGTGTTGCACTGTGCAGTGAAGAACTCGTTTCTGAGCTTATGATCTAGTTTCCCTGCTGCAACCCTTGCAGCTCTTTGTGGGCTGCGGAGCTCCTCATTTTGTTTGTCCTGCATCAACAAGCGGTGGAGCCAGTTCCGTTCCCTCAAACGGGCTACTGGTGCTGCATTTAGCCATGGACAAGGACGGGTGTCCTTTTTTGTCGGTGTACTACTGGTGCATGGTCATTCAGAGTAGAGAGGAGAGCGGAGGTTAGGCAATTTGCCAATGTGTCCACATCTGTTTGCGCCTGCAGCGTGCTCCTGTTGGTGCTAAGGTCTACATTAAACTGTTCACAGTTTATCTTATGTAGTCAGCGACTAGGATTCGGGCGGTTGATCTTGTGATGTCCAGAATGCCCACAAGCAATAAAATATATAAAAATTAAATTTGACGGTTCGCGTGAGACTCGGCTGGAAGCCCAGTTTTCCGCATCCGTCATGGGAACGCCACCACCCTCTAGGATCAAAGGCGCAAGCAATACGTATAGGATATTGACCAAGACGAGGTCTATTTGGGAAATAAAGGCCGAGTAAAAGACCGAGGTCAGCCGAGGTCTTTTACGAGGCCTATATTTCCCATATAGACCGAAGTCGAGGTCAATATCCTATTTATTATGATTCCTTCGCCATAACCCCACAATTTGAACCTTTAGGAGCTATTTTAATCTTGTTAGTATAGCATTTGTACTATAGTGTACATTGGATGTTGCCTATTTTGGGTACAAGACTGTAAGAACAACAGGGTTCAGCATCTGCAGCACAGTGGCTGGGTGGTATAAGGGGTTGCTTGAGATTCATACTGTTGTGAGTTCGAGTCCTTCTTGTTCTCTTCCTTTGTCTTCTTTCTTTCAATTTTTCTTTTTGAAGTGGAGAGAAAAATTCTAAGTCCCTCCAAAGTCGAAAGATTACAATGCCTAAGTGGTCGATACAAGCGGTCGATATAAGCGGTCGATATTGCGGCGATATGGGTAATATAGGACCAGTCAAGGAGCACGAGAATTAGTGGAGGTCGATATAGAAGAATGATATGAGCTATTACTCAATCTGCGGACAGCATGCTGTTTCGTTCTTTTTGAACTCATCAGCGCAGCACAGAGAAAATGAGGCCGAACCTGATAGCAATGAAAATAAAAATTTCCAATCAGGCCCGAACGTACCTTTCCAGAGTGCTCGAACTGACAAGTCAGTGAGCTCTGCATAACGCAAACAGCAAAGGCACTACCCCACGCAAGAGTGCTCAACTGCTACAAGAGCAGGAGCGAAATACTCAATCTGCGGACAGCATGCTGTTTCGTTCTTTTTGAACTCATCAGCGCAGCACAGAGAGAATGAGGCCGAACCTGATAGCAATGAAAATAAAAAATTCCAATCAGGCCCGAACGTACCTTGCCAGAGTGCTCGAACTGACAAGTCAGTGAGCTATTATTATTATTATCTCCCGGCGTCCACTCTCCCCCTCATGCCGACGTTTAGGTCAGCCACCTTGGGTGGCCATTAAGGCAAAGCACGATTTCTACAGTGTGTGTAAGAAATACCCAACCCAGCTTAACATGCATGTATATCGATCTCAACGGAACTTGGTGAAGAGTCTGACTCGATCGAAATACCGGGGATGCATTCGGTCCGTACAAGCTACGCTGCAGGACAAAAACCGCCCATCACTGTTTCAGTTCGTGGACAAATTAAAAAATCATAAAGTATCTCGTGACATCCCGACACTCACCATTAGTTCTACGCAGCAGGCTACTACCTCTTCAGCTAAAGCCACTGCATTGAACTCTCAGTTCGCCTCAGTGGCCATGCCTGATGACCCTTCTCTACCCAGTCCCCCCATTGCCGAGGAGCCGGGTGAGGTTGACCGTCTCACATCTGTCTTTACTACGACTGCTGCCATTCGACGTTACATTCGAAAGCTCCCGTCTGACAAGGCTCCGGGCCCAGACGGCATCACTAATCTGGTATTAAAGTCCCTTGCGCCCTCAATAGCATACCCATTATGTCTGATTTTCAACCTATCATTCCGCACTGGTCGTTTTCCCTCTGCATGGAAAACAGCTAATGTTATACCGATCTACAGGAAAGGGTCCCGCCACGAAGCATCAAACTACCGTCCGATATCTCTACTGTCCTGTGTTTCCAAACTCTGTGAGCGCGTTTTCTACGACCAATTGTACTGTCATGTCTCGTCACGTTTGAGTTCAGCTCAGTCCGGATTTCGCAGAGGCGATCTCTCAAACTCAATCTGTGTCCACCTCACCTCCACTGTTTCAACTGGTTCTCTTCCCGTAGCACGAGAAACTCCCTTTCCCTTCCGAAACCTAAGTCCTCCTTTCTACTTCACTCTCCCTTTTCTATTGCGTACTCTGCGTGGCTGGCACTTCCCCAAGAAGCTAAGGACCTTTCTTCCCTCCGCCTTTTTAAGAGCCTTGTCGCGCCTTGATTTTGATTTTGTGTTTCTGATTTGGTTGCAATCACTGCTTATCCATGCCGGTTCCTTTTTCTTCTCCTCCCCTTCTCCCTGCCTTGCCGTGGTTGGCTAACACCCTCTCTCTTTGTATTGGCCGGTGTTCTTACTGTGCTATAAGATGCTGTAATAAATAAATAAATAAATAAAATAAATTACACAAGAGAGAGAGAAAGTTTGGCAGCTTTGTTTCACGTATTACTACGATCATCAGGCAACTGATGGATCCAAAACGGGCAACCAGAACAGAAGGGGGGGGGGGGGTAAGGTGGGAAATTCCGAGGGGTGTCAAAGGCGATGCGTATCATAGCGAAAGAGTCAGGTGCAGGCGTGAAGTTGCCAAGTCTTCAGACTTGGGGCTATGTAGCAGTAGCAGTACTGTTCTCTCTCACCTGCGAGCCTCTCACCCACAGTGGCCAAAGCGGTTGAAACCCACCTGTGGCCAGCTGCACACGCCGAGATATATCTTCTCTGTCACCCAGTAATCCCTCGTGGCTCACTCCGGCACTAAGAATTCAGTTAAAGCACAAGCGAGACTCTCACATCCAGTACAAGAAGTACCCCACTCCTGACAAGCTCACCCACTACAAATCTGAGCGGAACAAAGCCCGGAATATGTCTCGCACATTTTCGCTGTGCTCACCTTCCGCTCTTCGGTCCTACGTAGCCATGAACCTTCAAAGTTGGAAGGCTGTTGGTTTGCGCACTGGAGATGTGTTAGAGCTAGGTCTCGGGTCGCTGAATGTCTCAGTAGCTTGTCAGTTTTGTGCTTTATTATCGCACTTTCTGACCGTTTATCATCTCTTTACCGTCGTGGATAGTTGCTGCATAACTCGTTCTCATGTGTTATTTCTCTTTTTTACATCTTATTACTGGCTCAGTATCCGAGTTTAGACTTTCTTTGAGTGCCAACTCTTTAAAAAATATTCTTTCTCTTTTCACTTGAAAACACCGCCATTCCGGCAATAGGCTCTCAGCTGCACCAAATAAATAACTTTGCCAATATTTCGCCCATTGGGCATCATCAGGGCATCTGTTGCCGGAATGGCGGTGTTTTCTAGTGCAAGGAATACGCTGCAATGGAGTTTGGGAATTCTGAAGAAACTTTCTCTTTTGTATAAATAATAATCATCCCTAGTCATAACTTGTAACAGTCTTTCTCCTCTGAGACGCCAAACAGAGTAATAAGAAGTTCTTCCAGGAAGTGATATACATCCTATCAAAATTATACTTTGTTCTCCCAGAGATTTGAAAGCTAATCAACTTGTTCACCTACCAGCCAGGCTGTTCAACGCCACAACCAAATTACAAAAGCTGTAAGTCATGTTGTGCATGTACCGTAAAATGATTTGTTGCGCACGCGCAAAAATATGTTAACACAGAAGGCGCATGCTCTGTTCCCAACAAACTCTCACGCGCTCATTGTTCTCCGAAGTCCACTGTTCTTGACTTCAGTTCTTGCTTTGTCCGCATTGGCAGTGGATTTCTTTCTCAATTCTCTCCTCACGGAGAAGCCCCGTGCACGTAAGCAGTCGGCCCCCGGGCCCAGGCGTTCCAGTCGCAGGCGCGCCTCGTCGTCCCCGTATGCCGACACTCCAAAGCGAGCCCCTGTGGACCATGAGGCCGTTCGGTCCGGCAATGCCCGTGCGAAGCAGGACGATATCCCATCCGCCGTTCCCCAGCCGGCCAGCTTACTCACAACTGGCCTAAATCCACGTTCCGTTACGGCGGCCGTGTCGACGGCCTTGCACCCCCTGCTGGCTCGAGTCGAGCGCCTTGAGGAGCGAATTTCAGCTCGCCGGGATCCGGACGGCCATGCTCAGGCGGCGGTCCCCTCAGTGGCAGATGTGGTCCAAACCGCATCCAACACCGTCACCTATCACCCGCCGCAGGTCGACTCCGGCCCCATGGTTATTTCCCTCATGGAACCCGCGCTGCCTCCGATCGCAGCGCCCATGGCGAACACTCGTGAGTCCAGCTCTATTGTTCCCACGGTCCCGCGTAAGTTACCTGACAAAATCACACGGCGAATATACTGAGCTGGAGGATCTCCTCCCGAAGAATGTGGGCGCAGGGTCCGAGCCCTTGGAGCTCAGTACCGCCAACGGAGAGGGCCGGCGTGTGTCCCTCAATTTATGTGTGACTAACAAGCGCTCCATTGTCGACTTCACTGCCTGGCTGGAATCCTACACAATCTACATGGACTGCGCACTTAAACATGTGCCATTCCGAGCACTGGAGCTGGTGACGTACCAGCACATTATCTGTACTACGACGCAATCGACCAAAGCCTCTGGAACCTGCACCTGATCCGGGCACCCCGACCATCATGTCCGCGCTGCATACCGCACCACAGCCGTGTCTGTTGCCCACAGTATTTGGCAGGGCCACATGCTCCAGCTGGCACCAATACCAGCCGTCCCACGCAGCCATTTCTGGCCGGGGCGGGCAGCACCCGCCACATCTGCCTCAACTGCAACCGTCGCCGCCCATGCCAACACCAGCCCTGTAAACGCTTGCACGTCTGCTCAACCTGCGGTGACCGAGGTCATCCCGGCGCTCGCTGCACCTACGACGGTCGCCGAGGACCCCGCCAGACGGACAAGCCCGTCGCAGCGAAGTAGTCTCCCCACACCTCTGTACATAGCCCGCCTAATGACTCTTTTGCCTCGTATTTCTAATCGTGTCCTCGCTGACTTTATCCTTAATGGCTTGCAACACGGGTTCCCCATTGGCCACTCTGGTGCTTCTGTATCTATCATCTCTGGCAACCTCCCAACTGCCATCGAACATGCTCAGTTTGTACAACAACAAATTGCTGACCGGGTCCGACGTGGCGAATCGGCCGGTCCTTTCTCTGTCCAGCCTTTCCACCCATTTGTATGCTTTCCGCTCGGCGTAGTGCCCTAGAACAACGGGAAATTCCGCCTCATTCACCACCTGTCTTACCCTGACCGTATGTCTGTCAATGATGGAATTAACAAGGATTCGTTCTCCCTACATTATGTCACAGTGGACGATGCCATTGAGCTTCTGCAACGCCAAGGTACCGGCGCCTTGATGGCGAAGCTCGACATACGCAATGCATTTGGTGACAAAGTCTGCCAATGTTCACACATATATGTGGGACTCAGTGAGCAGTCACATCTCGATGACCGATCACGATCCCCGTGACCAATCAAACAGTCACAAATCCCCGAAGAGCAGTCATAAAGTCGCACACCAGTTTGAATCCCGATGACCAGTCACAAACAGCCGGGACTTTCTCTGTGAACGGTCACAGGGCCCACGTCAAAATATTACGACTCAACTGTAGACATTCACGCGATCAGCATACTTTTTCCTTCAGTTCACAGCAGGGAGTCGTACTCAAACTAGAGTACGACTCCCTGGTTCACAGGTTTCAGAAGTGAGCAAGAAAGATTTCGATCAACTCTCGATCTCCGCGTAGTTTACTTGTAGCTCGAGTCTGGTGTCTGTGGGCTCCTCTCCAAAACGAAGGATGGTCGAAAATCTTGCAGGCTTTAGATAGAATCTCTTTTGAGAGGACGTTCTGGCTAGTAGATTGTGCTATTCATCATCTTTGAAGAACAAACTTCGTCGTTCAGAAAAGCTATTTCGGAATATTTTCAGTGAAGTAATTTTTTGCATGCCGATCTTGCTAAAACGGAGACTGATTTCAACTGATCCAGCATACAAGCAGCACTCGCTTTGTGTTTTTGGAGAGGATGGGTGACAAGATTACGGAGTCAGAAGTGGACATCGTCGACGATGCAGAGATGAAAATATAATGAAGATGGAAAAGAAAATATGTTCATCTCCAAGAAGGTACTGAGTACATCAAGCACCTTCGTGTGTGTAGCTCTGTTTTTCTTGTGGAAGACTCCGCAGAAAAACAATGTCCAGCTTGTTGAAACTGAAACTGCCTCTCAGTTGAAGTCGTTCAGGGAAGACATCTATTCAAGACATCATTGATCCATTCTCAAGAGCCATCGTAAGAAATTAAATCAAGTCATGTTAGCTATAAGAATGGCGAACTAGACCAGAGAAATGTGAGTGTCTTGTTTTGACTGCAGGAAACTGTATTTCAATATTCTGGCTCAACGTAGTGCTTACGCAGTTTACTGCTTCGAACACAACTTCATTCCTACTCCCAAAATAGTACATGCATACGAGTACTGCGTACCGTATACTGTCTCCGTGTCAGTGTTTTTGGGCGATCCTCCACACCTTCATTTGTCCATTACGTATTTTCCTCATACTTATTAATTTTATAGAAATATTCACTCACTACAACTTCTTGTGATTGCTGGTGCGAATGTACCCTGCGATGCCTGCTTGTTAGTGAAAGTGCACCAGACATGTATCGATATGTATGTCTGACGAGCCGGATGTTCTTGAACTGGCATGCTGCTTTTGACAAAAACTTAGGTTAGATAAGGTTTAGAATTAGGTGCTCAATGGCCTGGAGGAATTAATCATGATTGCGATCAGTATCACCAAGAGTACGGTTCTTCCATCTACGCATCTCTTCTTGGCTTGTGATTGTTTGAAAAGAGATAAAATAATGATACAGAAATACTTGTGTCCAAGTGTCATCATGAAAACAAGTTCTACCTCCGTAACTTTGTCCGCAAGGTCACGTGAATGTAGCTGGTAGTCCCGCTGCCAATTTGTGTGTGTGTGTGTGTGTGTGTGTGTGTGTGTGTGTGTGAGTAAGTGTGCGCACGCATGTGTGAGTGTATGTGTTTGTGTGCATGCGTGAGAAAGAGAGTGCGTGTGTGTGTGTGTGTGTGTGTGTGTGTGTGAGAGAGAGAGAGAGAGAGAGAGAGAGAGAGAATGTGTGCATGTGTGAGAGAGAGAATGTGTGTGTATGTGTGTGAGAGAGAGATTTAGAGAATGAGTGTGTGTGTGTGTGTGCACGTGTGTGTGTGTGGATGTGTGTGTCTGTGTCTGTGTTTGTGCGTGTACGCGCGTGCGTGTATGTGAGAAAAGGGACAGAGTGTGGGTGTGTGTGTAATGGTGTGGGCATGTGTGGATTTGGCATTTTAAGTCCCCAGCTCTATTCTATATCATTCACGCTGGAGACTTGGCAACTTCACGCCTGCACCTAACTTGCGCTATGATACACGTCGCCTATGATACCCCTCAGAATTTCCCACCTTACTTCCCCTTATGTTCAGGCTGCCCGTTTTGGAGCCATCAGTTTCCTGACGATCGTAGTAATAAGTGAAAGTTAAGAGTTGCGACAAAGCTTCCAATCTCTCTTGTAATACAGAAATACCTATATTCTGCCTGTGACTACTCACAGAGAAAAAGTGATCGCAACTGTACATTCCGCATGTAACTGTTCGCTTTGAATTAGAGTGGTCACAACTGTATTCTGTGACCGCTCAAAGGGAATTATAGTTTCCACAACAAATCCTGCAGTACGAAGCACTCCGCGAGCAGTCACGAACTGTGTGCTTTACACATGTACATGTATGGTGATTTGTGACTGGTCATGGGGCATTGTGACTGGTAACCTAATTTGTGACTGGTCATGGGGAGTTTGTGACTGTTTGACTGGTCACGGGGACCGTGATTGGTCATGGGGCCTTGACTGGTCACTGAGTCCTACATATATTCTCCTGAAATGCTTCCACTACATTTTATTTGTTATCACATTATAAAAAATTCACACAAATTGAGTGTCAGCATACACACAATGTCATAACAAATATTTCTATAATAATAATCATACCGCTTGCATGTCTTTATCTCTATACATTTCCTCATCTAATTTTCTTCATCTTTCTGTGAGAAACGGACCAATAGGTCGGTAAGAAGGCAATCATGCCTGTGCAATTGGTGAAGTAAAGTAAAAGTCAACAACAACAACAACAACAACAACAACAACAACATTTCGACTGGTCCCTGTTGCACCCACTGCATACCATTTGTTGGGTTTCCAGTGGCAGGGCCAATTCTGCTATGACAAAGTACTGCCATTCGAGCTGAGGTCCGCACCCTACTTGTTTAACTGCATTGCGGACGCACTTTGCCAGATAAGCTGTGAACTGTTCCAGTTTCCCCACCTCCTGCACCTTCTGGACGACTTTTGGCTCTGTGGCTCTGCAAATTCAACGCTATGTGCGCAGCGTCTGAACACAGTCCTCTCCGTATTCCGCTACCTGGGAGCTCCCATTGCCGACGAAAAGACGGTCGGCCCAACCTCCTGTCTCACCTTCCTGGGCATCGAACTGGACTCCGTCCAGAAAGTGGCTCGTCTCTCACAGGACAAGGTTGACGACATCCGCTCCAGACTATTGGCCTT